GAAACAACCGACCCCCCGTTTCCCTCCCTTCCACCCCCGTTTACCTCCCTTCCATCGATGCCATCGTGTCCCGTAACCCACCCGTGCCGGGGGGAGCCCGCCGGGGAACTGGGGTATTGGGTCAGGGGCCGCGTTGGGTCAGGGGGCCGCAGTGCTGTTAAAAGTCTCCGGCTTTGGGGTCAGCCTGTGCTGGTGCGAGGGGAGCCCCTGTTGCTCCTGCCCCAGGTAGGGGTTGGGATGGTGTGGCAGCATGTCTTTGAAAATCCCTGTGGATAATGAACTCTCGTTATTCCAGAAAGTGACCCAGTGTAGGAAGTTTATATATTAAACTGTGTTTTCAGTTAATGGTATCAGATAGAGATGCGGTAGGGTGGGTTTTTTTAAAATGTTTGTTAGTTGTTGATGCTGAGCTGTTGGTACAAATACTTTGAGATCTGTAGACCTAGAGGAGAGATCCCTGTTCTACAGGGGTGCTGCGTGAAATTGGAAAAGGTTGTAGGAGAACAGGAGAGATGCTCGCTGCCTCCTCGCTCCTGGATAACAAAGCACACGTGCAAAGGTGGCTTCAGAAACACAAGCGGGCTCCTTCCCTTCAGGGCTGCGAGGCTCTCTCCAAGGGCTGCTTTGGTTTCCTTCCAGCTGTGGGACGTTGCGGGGGCAGTGTCGGCTCGGGGTTCTGCCTGTCCAGGAGAGGAGCACGGGGATGCTCCGTGAATGACGGCTCAGTGGGAATGAGTTATTCCTTCCCAACAGGTCGTGTGTGAATTAGTTTGGACTTAATGCCTTCAGGTAGTAGCCACAGCGTAGCTGTGAAATGAGGCAGTCGCTCACGGCGAGATGCCCTGCGGTGATCTCCTGCTGTGATCTGCCCGTGGGGATATCCGATGAGTCCAGCAAGGAGAGTTCTCTCGAAGACTTGTATAGTGTAAGCTGTACATTGAGCGTGAGCTTGTACAGCAAAGGGACTGGAGCTGATGCTGCAGAAGGCTCTGCTGCACCGGGGGGCTGGCTTTCTCTCCCATTTCCCAGGATGGCTCCTGTGAAGTAGCCTCCCGGAGTCAGGACTTTGCCCAAAAACACACCTTGGCACATCGCCGGTGCTCTACACCAGCATCAGTCAGACCTGCGGGCTGCACCTGCAGGCACGGCTCGACGAGCAGACCCTCCCGCACACAGTGTGAACCTTGACAGCTCTGCACCAAGGGCTACCTAAATGTGTGTTCTTGAGAATATACCAAATTGTGACACAAACAAGATTATTTTTTGCATTTTTTTGCAGAATTCTGTGTTCTCTCCGAGCCCTGTTCTCTCCAGCTGCACTCCAAGATTGTGTCCTTTATCCTTTGGCGAAGGAGTTGAGTTTGACCCTTTACCACCAAAGGAAATAAGGTAAATATTGTGCTACAGTCACCTAGTTTGAAGGAGTTAGCATGTAAAGGAGCAGTTAGGCCTTATCAGTGCCTGTGAGTCAAGTTAATTTATTTGCAGAGCTATTGTTTTACACAGCTGTACATTCCTGGACGTTTGTACAGGCTGAAGGAGTGTTCAGCCTCTTTTAATTTCATGTGGGTTTTTTCCAGGAAGACTTTCCTGTATTTTACTTTTCTGATTTTACTTCGTTGCACTGCTCCAAAATGTTGCCTTTCAGCTGATTGACCAGAAGGTCATCATGAGGGAAGATCTTCAAAGCAGACATCTTTCTAGGACTGTTTTATTAGGGGAAAGGAATTTTGCCCTCCTAACCTTATGGTTTTGTAAGAAGTACTTTCTGTCTTATCAGTTGTGGCTGGTTGTGTGAAGTAAAAGAAAAGTTAGTATTCAGAGAGTGCATAATTATTTTTTTTTTTAATGCACTGCATCACTTGACAGCCTGTGATTTATTCCTTTGAACATTATGATTTGCAGTGGTGAGAAATGAAGGCTCCCAAATTATTCCTGGGCAAGCAGAGGTAGACTGATACCATCAAAGGGAAGCAGGGGAGGGTAGGAAGTGTTGGTGACCCCGGTGTGGGGAAGGAGCCCGCCCATGGCTGGCATTGAAGGCAGTTAGCACTGTGGAAAAGCTAACACAGAGCTGTCCCAGTGTGAAGGAGATGAAAACTTTCTTTTGCCAGCCAAGCACAGAGGATTTTCTTGCCAACAGTTTGATGTGCAAGTTGTAGTATTTTTCTGCCAGTTGAAGCTTTAGAAGTTTTCCTTCAGAGAGTGCCCCGTGCTGGGAGTGATAGCAGAGATCTCCCGTGTGACTCTTGGCAGAGGAGAACTGAGAAAATACCGTGTGCTTGCATGGACTTGGCACTCTGAGGAGTTCGGGTGCTGATGAGCAGAGCCTGAATGTGGATCTGGGCCTCTGGGTCTAGGCACTGGAGTTTGAAGGAGGTTCTTAGTGTCATACAGCTCAGGCTTAAAAGGATGGATATGAGCACTGAGAAGATGTTTGGTGGTGCTGGCAGCTGGACAAAACGGTGCCAGTGCTGGGTGTGCTGCTAACGTAAGGCTTTTTCTGTTTCCCATCAGTGAGTAAGACGCCAGCAGCCAGTGTCTGCATGCTGGGGCTGTTCCTCTGTTGAGGTGGCAGTTTTGGGGCTGCAGAGCCACCCTGGTACCCAATAGCTCTTTTTTTTCCAGAAAATGCAGACGACTGTTCCAGAGCAGAGCTCACACATGTCCCTCTCTCGTATTTCAGGTACACATCTTCAGTTAAATACGACTCAGAGAAGCATTTCATCGATGACATCTATATGCCAATGGGCTTAAGTGTTTCCTCTTGCAGCCAGACGATCATCTGTGTCCCAAACTGCACGTGGCGAAATTACAAAGCGGAGGTCCACTTCGAGCCCCGCAACAAGCCCCGGCGTTTCACCAGCACCACCATCGTCTACCCAAAGCACGCCAAGACTGTGTACACCACCACGCTGGATTACAACTGTCGTAAGACCACACGGCGGTTCCTCTCCAGCATAGAGCTGGAAACGTCAGAGTACCTTGGGAACGACTGTGTCCTGGATGGTTGCTGACTGACGGCTGTCTCTCTCGCTCTGAACCATCCTAGTCCCGTCTAACGTCCTGTGCTCACTCTCCGCTAGCTAAAGTGGGTACAGACCCTAACTTTCCAGTCAGGCCTTATTTGTCGCCACCTCCTTTCTCAGCTCTTAATTCCTGCTTTAAGCAACAGAATGGCCTGAATGCAGTTTTCTGTGGGAACATAACTTAGTAAGGAACTTGTTTCTTTGCCTTTAAAGTCGTGAGTTCCCTCCCCTTCCTCACAGTGCAGTAAGCAGTTGAAAATAAGGGGAAGTATTTTCCCAGAGAAAAATTTGACAGGTAAGAAAGGATGTAGAATAGTACCTGGCAGGTGGAAATCCATTTGTTGCTCTGTGGTGATGTGCAAAAATAAGGGCAGTTCACTGTCTTGCAGAGAATCTACCAGGTCGTTTGGTTACAGATAGCCAGAGTTGTAATTTGTTTCAGTTTAGATCGTGAGACTGTTTTCTCTAGAAGAACCATCTCCTGGAAATTGCTGGGAAAAGCTAACAGAGAAAAATCTGTAATTCGGCATTTAACAGATACAAAAATGTTATCCTATGACATTCATGTCTGGTTTGAAGGTGTGAGTTGGAAAGCAGAGGAATTCTGAGTAGAGCAGGAGATAAACTGCTTTCCCAGCTCTAGGCAGCAGAGAACGGATCAGGTAATTCCAGTTCTTTAGATGAATGGTGTGATGTATCTTATGTACTCACAATGACTTGTGCAGCGCTGTGTAACACGCTAGCATTTGCGTGCTGTAACAGGACTTATAAAGAAGAATACCAGGCTGAAAATTATCCCTGTATTGTTGGAAAGTCAGGTCTTGACAATGTGGAGGTGGAAGAGCACCAGTGCCTCATTTTTACTGACTGTCTGCACTAAGAGAGGTGTTACTAGGAAAGCTTCAGAAAATGCACCATGTGTACAGGGACCTAGAACAGCGAAGGAGATGCTGGGATGGAGTGGGAGAGGCTCTCATGGTGGGGGTTCTAAAGAGGTAGATGGTAGCAAAGGACAGGCAAATTTTTATTGCAAAGCAAAATCCACAGCTGTAGCTCTGCTTCCCTTTTGAGCTTCTCATTGCAAAGGTCCATGTCCTCTCTGGACTGGGATATTCAGGAAGTCACTGGGATGGGGTAGCGTTTACTTGTCTGTAGGCTGCAGAATAACCCCTCCAGTCCCAAGTGTGTGATGAGTTTGAGGACCAAAGGGACTAACTTCAGATACTATGAAAGTCTGTCTGGATGTTACGTGCGTTAGTTTATCACATGCTTTGATGAAAATAAGATGGAGAGGTTTCTTACTTTACCCAGATGCTTTTTTTTCTATTTTGACAGCAGCATAGTGTGGAGAGCATCTGCTTTTGGGAGCGTGGCTTAGATTGGTGGCTAGAATGGTGTAGCATCTCAGAAATGCTGGGGAGACTTGACTTAGCTGGACACAGCTTTTCCATGTATTCCAAAACTCCTGAGTTGTGGGCCACCTTCTGGTGCAACATCAGCTCTGGGCTTGCAGTTAAAGAGGGTTTTGCTGGTGCATAGCCTCAAGGGTGAATTTTGTCAGTGGTGAGTTAGAAACTCGGGAGCCTGTTCTTGAGCTGTACTTAACGCGTATTTGTGCAAGTGTGATGGATAGTGTGGAAGTGTCCTTCAGCGTGAACTGAAATGATTTGGGAGACTAAAAATGCAGCAGGAGGGAAAGCTTGAGTTTATGTGGTTTGGGTTTTTTTGTGTTTTGGTTTGCTGCTGTACTTATTTATTAGCTCAGAACAGAATGTCCTTAATCTTTGTACTTGCCTCAGAAAACCAGATCCTAAACCCAGGGTGACAGAGGATGCCAAAGTCAGGTAGGCATTGCTCCAGAGTTGTTAAGAGCAGCAGAGGCTTCTCAGTAAACATGTTGGTTTCAGACTACAGTATTTAGGAGACCCATCTTAAATACATGTCAGGATTCTCCCCTAAACATTGTCCCAAGATACACTTGTTGCGTAAGAGAAGGCACAACTCAGCCCCTGAGTGTGTGGGGTTTCAAACAGACAGAACTGTTCTTTGGGGAAGCTATTGCATCATGGCTTGCTTTGCAGTTTTGTGTACCTTGCTCCTGAAACCTCTGGTGCTGGCCACTGTTGGATGCAGGACGCTGGAAGAACACGGACCCTGGATTGCTCCGACAATGCTCTTCCAATGAATTTGTTTGCAGGAGATCTGAAAGATTATTTTAAGCTGTAATCATTAATTGTCCCTAGTTAAATTAGAAATGAAATGACCCTTACACTATGGTTTTTAAGCACCAGATTTTTATACAGCAAGCAAACGTAATTATGTACCTCTTAAAAATATTTTAATTGGTAGAGATACCTTTTAAATTATTTAAGTTCCGACATTTGCAAAGCTCTCATTAGCTCTGTGCAAGTGTTCTGATGTCTGTGACGTTTCCCACCCCCTCCTTCTAATTTTCAGTTTGTCTTTTACTTTATTGGTAATAAATGATCTGAAAACCGTCATAGAGGGAAGTCTCTTTCATTCAAAGCTTTTCAGTGTTTGTTATTATATTTACTTAGAAATAAATACATACTATATCCTGCCAATCCCAGCTCCCCTTTTGTTTCTCTTATATCAGGTGTTGCTGTTGTTTACGTATTCTGGGAAGGTGTTTCCTATATAAAACTGTCTGTATTTAAAAAAAAAAAAACCAAACCAAAAACCACCTAATGTTGTGGTTTTATCAGTTTAGTAAGACACTGAAAAGTGCCTTGAGGACAGCTGAAAATCCTCTCCATTATGTATTTGAGTCGTTCATCTTCGTATCGTTTTATTTTTTAAGACAGTTTCTGGTATGGATTTTACATATCCTACAAGTGAAGCACTTCTCCTTTTCAAATATAACACATATTTAACCAGACAGGAATTTCTTTTTAATTTTGGTTAAAAATGTAGATGCTCAGATGCTGCATCAGTGAATATGACGTAAAATAAGACTAGAATGTGTTATGCAGTAAACTTTGTAAAAACAAAATAGATGGTTACAAACTATCGTTTTGAGAGAAATGCTGGAGTGTTTTTCTGGAGGCTTAATCTGTTCTTTAAACCCTTCCGAATTTGCAGGCATGCTGGTTTTGTTAGTATCTCTGGCAGAGTACAAATGAATGCAATTGAACATCAGTTAATTAATTCATAATGGGATTTTTTGCTTACTTTTTATTGTTCATCTGGTTATCTGCTTGCAAAAGCTCTTGATTTGCATATAATGGCATTACTGGAATCAAGGGAGCTTTGAAGCTATTCTGAAGCATGCCGCTGCTCCTGCGAAAGTCTGCGCAAGCATTTGAGTATCATGCAGCATTTAAAGTATTAAACAGGAGAAATGCCATGTATAAACATCAACTGCTGTATAAAAGACAGTCCATTTGAAGAGCCATTAAGAAAAAACATTAAAAAGCAGAACGGTATCTTTCAGGAGGGCTTCAGGAAAAACTTTTTCTCCTTCCAGATGTGCCATCTAACTTCCAAAAATGTCCTTTAGTGTGGCCTGGGCTCTTTTCCTTTAGTATTGTTGTAACACTCTGTATGAAAGATGTTCCTGTACTAGGAGAACTTGAAGTAGGGGAATACAAGGCAGCATACTGCTTGACATGATTTTTAATTCATATTGACCAAATTGGCTTCTAGTTATTACGTACCATGACAAGGATAACCCTGTTGTTAGAGATGTGCTCCATTTTCCTTGTATATACGCTGTGCTCCTCCGGAATGTCAAATCTGAGGGTCTGATACAATGAATTTTTATAACAAAATAAAATACTGTATCTCACAATTGGATCACAAGCCAGGAGATGAAGGCTGGATTCCAATCTGGATTTTGCAGCTCGGTTTCAAGTACTAGGTAAGTCTGCGTGCCTGCAAATAATTTTAGCCTCCAAACAAGGTATCTGGTCATACAGCTGCTAATACTCAGCTTCCCCATCTGTCCCAGGGGCTGTGCTCGCTGGTTTCAGGACCAGCAATTGACAAGGTGAATATCTGAAAAGCTGGGATGTAATGCAGTGAATATTATTTTGAAATAAATTAATAGCAATAACTAGGGATACTCCAGGACAAATAGGCAGTATGGAAAGGAGCACTTTCAATTGCTGAAGTAGCCTGAGTTGCATCCATATTTTCACCAACAGGTTAGTTTGGTTTTAAAATATAAATGTCCCGTTCTCTACACAGATATAAGACCGTGAGTAACCAGTACTAAGCTACAGAACTTGTTGAGAGATTTTGGGTCACACCACTGATTGCAGCTGAGAGACTGTGCTAGCTCATTCAGCATCCAGGACGAGTTCACACTTGCTCCTCTGTAAAATAGCTGCAGCAGTCTTCTTTACATATTGTGTGATCACTGCTTGTGCATGACGCCCTGCGATGAAGTAATGGGGAATGCCTGAGAGTTGGGCATGGCTCAGTGGGCAAATGTTGCTGGATATACAGTTCATACCGTTTCCTTCGGTTCATCTTATAGATACGCAGCCTTTCTTCCTCTGCTACAGGATCCTCAAGAACCCCGTCCCATCGAAGGCTTTCGTTAAGCTGAGCAGAAAGACCTTGATCCATTTGAGTGGAGTCCACAATGGTGGAAGTTGTTACTACAACCTTGTTTATTTCTGCATCCTTATGATTCTCTTCTGCATTATTTTGGGCTGAATCAGGGTTCCTCCCAAGACTTGGGCTTTCAAGCAATGGAGGGGAGTGGGCCTGCTGCTTTCTGGGTTTGTGGTGGTGTTTATCTGTTAAAACAATAAACTCTGTTAGCAAAAATGTATGCGTTGCCTCTGAAGCTCTCCTGCTTATTTCATAAAGAGGATGATGAGACAAGTGCTTGCTGTGCCTTTACGTGCCCATGAATAAGAACCAAATCTATAAGAAAGCATTAATGGCCTAAGAATCTTATTTTGAAGTGGGAAATATGTATTTACCTGATTGGCTAACATAATGATTGTCACACCTGT